TATTTTTAAAACAAAAAAAAAAGATGAAAACAGTTTTTTAAGCAATGTAAAACACTTCTTTAATCTCTGATATGCACTAAAATGTCATCCATGTGTGTACAAATTTGACTGTGTGATAGTATGTTATCGCAGAGCTCAACAACAAAAAAGAACTGTAAAGGGAAAAAAGAAAATCAAATATCTTATTACCTAGCGGCCCATGTATGAAGGGAAGTAAGTCCCTACTGATCCAAAACTAGATTGGGTATTTGGAGGCTGCGATGACACAGGCCCAACAGATGTTCCTTCAGAAGAGGAAGGCAGCATTGAAGAACTTTGGTATGCCCCCAATCCTTGCATTCCCATATGCGGACCAAAATTTCCCATCACACTAGGACTTAAGGTACCTAAGCCATAGTTCCCTCCAACGGAGGCACCACCTATTGCAGGAGATGCCAACCCAAGAAGGGCATTTGCTGCCAATCCCATTCCAGGACTTTGTCCCATGAACATCCCCTGCTTCATGCCAATCCCATAATCTGTTTGCTGCAATGGTTGAATAACCGGAGTATTATTGCTGTTTTTGTTATTGGGATATTCTACAAACTTTTTGCAGTTCAACTGGCAACCTTCAAAAAATTTAATTGGCTCCTCTAGCACCTTCTTTGCACCTTCTGCAGTTTTATAGACAAAAATTGCAAACCCCCTGGGTTTATGAGTCATCGGATCAAACCCTGATGGTCCTTCCTCGATTTCACCATATCTAGAGAAGAAAGAACGGAGATTTTCTGCAGTTATATTGGGACCAACGTTGCCAACATATATTTTCCTGCTTCCTACATCAGATCCTGCAACTGAGCCTAATGCGGCGAGCTGGCAGGAGATGGTACGACTTCCTATCTTCTTCTGGGGCTGTTTCAGCGCCTTCTTAGCGGAGGACCTGGTCTTATAAAGTACAAAAGCGTAGCCTTTGGCCTTTCCAGTGACCTTATCAGTGATGAGTCTACACTCCTCAATTTCTCCGTATGTACTAAAAGCTGCGCGCAGTGTTTCCGCTGTGCTATCCCAGCTTAGGCCGTGGATGAAGATTTTTCGATGGGTCGGATCCGTGGTGGCTAATTGGGTAATCCGGGAAAGCAGGGATGGATCGTTCGAAGCTGCCTCTTTTAGCAGAACGATTATCTGGTCTTTGGCCAAGGGTTCGAGAAGCTTCCTAATGTTCTCTCGCTTCGAAGATTCATCTCCCTCACCGTTTTCGGAAGATTCTGAATCTGACTTTGATTCCTCCTCCTCTACTTCTTCTTCTTCTTCAGATCCTTCCCCTTCTTCTTCGTCAGACACTTCTTCTTCTACCTCTTCTACTTCTTCTACTTCTTCTTCATCCCCCTCTTCTTCTCCTTCTGCTTCTGCATCATTATCTTCCGATTCTTCCTTAGGATTGGGCTCTTCAGATTCGAGTTTCCGCTTTCTAGCCATGACAGTAGTAGATGCCAATGGTGTTCAGTGCTTCTAGGGTTTACGTCCGGACGGAAGATGAAGATGGGTGTTAAATAAACTGGGCTAGAAGACTTCGGATAGAATCTCCAATGCTTAACCTAAATCTCAGAAGCCCAACCTAACTCCTAAAATCTGGGCACATAAAGAAAAAAACATGATGACATGTGCAAAGATTTTGAAAAATAAACCAGAAATATTTCTATATGCTTTTCTATCATATTTCTTGTTTAAAAAAACAAGAAATATAATAGAAAAGCATATAGAAATCACTGGGAGAAAGGCGTGACGGACGAAAAATTCATACGAGAAATTTAATTTGGTATCACACTCAATCGTAGGCATAGACGGGCTCCGGGCCGGTCCAAACCGGGCTTTTATTTTTTGGGGGCGGGCCCAAAACCGGCCCGGTTTGCAACCGGGTCCGGGCCGGTCTCGGACCGGTTCATGTGTTTTTTTTGCTTTTCTAATTAACCCCCGACCCCACCCCACCCCCCCAACCCCCAAACCCCCCAAAACACCTAGCCCAACCCGAGGAGAACAAAAAAAAATTGAAATAACAAAAAAAAAAAAATAGGCCCGAACCGGGCCGGGCCGGTTCCAAAGGAAGGGTAGGTCCGGAACCAAACCGCTCTAACAAACCGGGCCGGTCCTAGGCCCGGTTCCCAGGCCGGTTCACCGGGGCTGGTCCGGGCCCGCACAGTGGCGGGTCGGGCCGGTTCCCGGGCCGGGGCGACCAGAACCGGTCCATGCCTGCTCAATCGGGTATAACCAATACTCGGTTGGGTATGATTCGACCCAAAGACAATACAAAATTTAAAAAAGCAAGAGAACATGTGAAATTGGATTTTGCCTCATACCCGATCGCGTATACAGACATATCCAATCGGATATAATTAGATTTCAGCACTTTTGTAGCCACTGTTAATGTTACTGATCAAGCACCCGACCCAGCAACCTCAAAACGCCTATAAAAGTACCCCTTTGTTTTGATCTTGTTAGTTATCTCCCAGTGTTCTTTTATTGGAGATTAATTGCTCCAAACTCATGATCCCCTAAAATTACTAAATTACAATAAAATAGGAAAATACACTGTTACACCATAAATGTGCAATTACTATATTAACGACATCATATAAATTAAGTAAAAGTAAAAACTTAAATACGAAAAAACTAACATAATAAGTCACCAAATGAAATACTCTCCCATTTTTTTTAACTTTGTCATCTTTCTTTTCCTAGATGTCCCAAAAACTTTATCACTCCCATTTTATTCAATGAACTTGTTATTCACATTATTTCTTTTTATATTGCTCAATTTCAATCACACAATATTACTTTATTATTTCTTGTGTCAATCAAATTTGACAAAGTTTAGATACTCCTTCCATTCTTTTAATGTGTTTTGTAACCTCTTATGTATTTTGTGGCGCATAAGAAGAAAATAACATGATCAACACATATGGTGTAGAGTAAATGAATAAGTGGGAAGGGGTATATTTAAAAAAGATAAATAATGAACAAGCAAAAGATAGAAAATAGTTTGTGAAAAGTAAAAAAATGTAATTTTATAGGAAAAAATTACTAAAATGAAGAGATGTACAAATAGTATAAAAGAAATTTTACCCAAAAAAACAATAATAGATTTAAGATAGTAATCTGATGCATATCATCATTCATCTTTTCATTGGTTAGTCGTTGTCATTTTTATAATCATCATCTTTTTTTATATGGCCCCACACTATGGTCATTTGATTGATTTGGCTGTGATACCATGTTAAGACTTGTGCTCCATCCTAAAAGGTTAACATGTTGGAAGGAATAACTCAGATCTTAATATAGCACATAATGTTGTCAAATAAGATAAAGAGAAGTAATATGGTAGGCTATTTCATTGTGATGACATTTTAGTAATCTCACCATCAATTTTTCAATAGTTAAAAAGTTTTTTTTGGTTCAATGTCATTTAGGTGTCCTGTGGTTAGATTTAATGTCTATTGTACATCTTTCAAGTTTCATAGATTTATATTTTATGGTAATATGGTATTGAATATACATGTACTGAATCAAATGTATTATTATAAAATAAAATGCACCGAGTAGTATAGTAGTACCCAACCCATCCCACAAATGTAATACGTAGTATCTCTCATCTATAATGATATTTTCACTTAAACTGAAATTTAATTGATTTAAGCCTAATAGGCTATTATATGTACTAGTATAGTACCCGTGCGATGCATGAGATGATGGATTTTTAGATTAACTTTTACTTTTTTTTTACCCCGGAAGGCAAACCACCAAAATCAGTGGGGCAAATGCCGGGGGACATTTGCCGAGTTTTTATGAAAATTTCGAAATATTACATGAGAGAGGGGGACCAAACCAATACCTCTCTAGAAAAAAAACATTTAAGGAGGACCAAACCAAACCTTAAATAAAGTACATATAAAAATAAGCAAATTAGAGCCGTAAATTAGGAATACCGAAAAGATCCGCATAATAACCTTGTTTAACCTTATTGGGAAGCTGGCTGACCCGTCTGTAGATGAGTAATTGGCCCGATTCAGAGTGATGAGAAGCAAGAAAGTGGGCCGGCCCATTACCCTCCCTATACTCATGTCCGAAAGAATAACCCCGATATGTTGCCTTTCTCCTGAACTGAGTTAGGTTGCCTGAATCGTCCTTGACTGAAGAAATCGAAGCTGAGGAATCACTTTCCACTTGAACATCGGTGAAGCCCTCCTCCATCACCATTTCAGACGCTAAAACCAAAGACCTAAGTTCCGCCTCCTCACTAGAAACCGCCTGGACGCCGAAGCTAGCCGCCCAGACCAGTTCACTTGCACAGTTTCTGAGAATAGCGCCTCCTGATGCGAAACCAGGTACAAAAGCAGCGTCAACATTCAGTTTGAAATTCTTCTTGGGTCTTTTCCACTTAATTATCTGAATCCCTGAGTTGTTGAATGTAAGAGTAGATGGGATTAGGTGTTCATGAATCAGAAAATTGTCCACCTGCAGACATTTTTTCCTGTTCAAAGTATATGCCCAAGTGTGAGTGTAAAGCTTGATTCGGTAGATAAGTTGCTCTGGTGTGGGAATAGAGTCCGAGCCCCAGATATGGGAAGCTTTCCATATGTGCCATGTTATGATACCAGACATATTTTGCATAAAAACATCAGCCATAGTTTTTGAGCCGGCCTCAATCCACCAAACAATCATGACTTGCCTAACCATTGCACATTCTGGCATTCTTAGCCCAAAAATTCCCATAAAATACTGCCATATTTTCTTTGTATAGCTGCAGTTAAAGAAAATGTGATCAGTAGTCTCACTATTCGATATACAAAAGGGGCACCTAGAGGGCTGAAGAGTAAGTTGAAATCTTTCAAGATTATCACAAATAGGCAGAAAAGAGTTTAGCAGTTTCCACTGAAAAATCTTGATTTGCTGAGATTGATTTCTATTCCAAATATGCCTATTTGTGAATGTTACTGACTTGGTTTCTCTTATTTCTTCGTATGCAGAGGCTATGGAGAAATTCCCATGGATTCCAGGATCCCATTGAAGAATACCCTGAGGACAATAAAAGCACATATCCTTTGCAAGGTCATGAATTCCACAAATCCTTCTCCAAATACTTGAGTCTGTGATTTTAGGTGTCATATCCTCCCCTCTATTATACTTTGCTTTAAAGAAGTCAGACCACAAAGAATTGTGAGTTTTCCACTTCCACCACAATTTTAGAGTGAATGACTTTTCAACATCTGATAGAGCCCTAATCCCGAGGCCCCCTTCCTCTGTAGGATAACTGATGATCCCAGATACAGGTAAAAGTCTAGAGGGGGGGGTGAATAGACTTTTAAAGCTTTTTCAAATTTTAAAGAATTTCCCTCATAGATATGATGATCAGTAATCTTTTGAGAGATTAAGGATCGCAGCGGAAGTCTTGACCTCTATATAACAACCTTCTGTTAGTGAGTGGACAATGAGAAGTCTGAGAGACAGAGGAGCTTTGGTGACAGAGATGATTTGGACAGAAGGTCTCAATCAGAATACCTTGGTGTGGTGTTCTGGGGTCTTCTTGACAGATTCCTTTCTGAGGTTTTCTGTTGACCTTCGAACAGAATCCTTCACAAGGTCTTCTGTTGAATTTGAAAGGTGATAATAGCCTAGAGGCTTCTATTTGGAAGAGGAGTTCTTAGTGAAGGATGAAGAAGACTTCTAGAGAAAAGGGGATGTCTTTGGACGAAAGTATAAGCGAGCAGTAAGCTTAACAGAGAGGTGATTTGGTGTGTGCTTTGTTGACTGAAAATGAATCAACACACAATATATCCTGGTTCACAGGTGGTGTAATCCTCCTACATCCAGTCCCATCCTCTTTCATATGCATTTCCACTAAAGTATTAAGCCCAATACACTTAGTGCCTGTCTGGCTGTTATCATCCAACTAGCTCAGACCTGAAGGTGTTTCACAAGGAGTACACACCACTCCAAGTTACTCAGTCCTTAGATTTTTTCAATTGATCCAGTGGGGATCAAAAGGTACTTCGTTCTATTCTACCACACTTAGGACTAGATAACACTGTCCTTCTAAGTGTTTACAACATTCTCAAAAGTAATAAAATTTCTAGCCTCCAACTAATAACTAAACTTCCAGAATATGGTAATGAGTGTTCTGTCTGGGAAGTTTAGTGAAGCATGAGTCTAAACAGAGAGCTGAGTTTAAATGAGCACTTTCAATTATGCTGGGTTTCTCTTTGAATGCTTGGTATAATTTATCTGTTTAGAAGACTCTCAAAAGCTTGAATATGAACTCATGCTTGTGGCTTTATTTATAGGCATCTGCGGTTGATTAATCTTCTCCGTTGGTTGAGAGGATTTAATCTTTGTCGTCGAAAGAGTTGTACTTTCGTCTTCTTGTGTTGGAGCAGATTATCTTCTTCAGACGCAATTGGATCAATTTGTAAGCAGGATATGTAAACCCATACCTTAGGCCTTGTATGCACTATTCACCTACTTGTAGGTTTTGGCTTCTCATGCAACTCTGCATGTGTAGTATCTCGTGATTTTATAGATATAGTGGACTTAGTAAATTTGTGACTTTAGTCTTTCTGTATCAAATAATTTTGTACTGGTAGGATTTAAATATCCTTTTAAGGTAAAGGAAAATTACCTTATTGCTTTTTATATTTCCAGTACAATTTGTTTGATATAAAAAGTATACATGTTTAAAATTGGTCACAATTTTACTAGTGACATGGATAACTTTATAACAAAATTAAATATACTGGTTGGATTTGAATATCCTTTGTAAGGTAAAAGAATTTTACCTTATTGCATTTTATACTTCCAGTATTTTTAATCTGTTATAAAGTTGTACATTTTTAATCTTGTCACTTTAAAATGTAGGAAAAATTGAAAATAATAATCCCAACTATTGCCGATCCGCTGAAAATAATCCCAACTATTGATTATTTTTGTATAATCCCAACTATATAGACTATCCGCCAATAATGGTCCATGACCATATATTACCACTATAAAAAGTGAATTTTAAATAGAAATTAAGCGTAAAAATTAAAAGTTGAGATTATTTATAGGGATTACTTGTTATATCTCATCTCATCCACTTTAGAAACTACAAGAATTTATTCACAGGGACCATTATTGGCGGAAGGTCCCTAAAGTTGGGATTATTCTGTAATAATCAATAGTTGGGATTATTATGAGCGGACCGCCAATAGTTGGGATTGTTACTATCAATTTTTCCTAAAATGTATTCTTTTTTTTCGTATCTTTTTCTATGTTGTGAGTATTCTTACATAAGCAATTTTGGACAGAAAATCTAAAACAGAAAAGGAGGATGACATCATCAAAACTATTTCTAACAACAACAGGTTACATCAAAGTCTGAGGGACCTAACAATAACACAACCTAGTCCATTTTTCCCAATGATATCTTCTCTTATCTGCAGTTGATCCCCAAAAGAATGAAGCCATTTTTCTTTCCAATGTAGAGATAACCCTCTTAGGAAGCTTGTCAATGGCAAGAATATGATTAGGAATAGTACTAAGAACATACTTAATCAAAACTAGTCTTCCAGCCTGTGTGAGATTCTGTTGTTCCCAGGATGAGAGCTTAGTATCAAAGTGTTTAATAAGCTGATTACAGTACTGAAACTTGTTCCTTCCTTTGTGCAAACTAGATCCTAAATATTTCAATGGGAGGCAAGAGCTTCTCATCCCCAAGATCCTAGATATAACACCACATCTATAAGTTGCTCCTTTACCCGTGATGAAGCAGATTTTCTCCAAATTGACAGTCTGACCTGAAGCAGCCTGATAATCATTAATGAAGTTCTTAAAATGAACTAGAGATTGAGAGTCTCCATTAGTGAAAATCAATAGGTCGTCTGCAAAGCCAAGATGACTAACCCCTATCCAGTATGGCTTAATAAACCCCTGCTCCATTCTGGCCTTCAAACTTCTAGTGAAACCTTCAGAGGCAATAATAAAAAGAAATGGAGATAAAGGGTCACCTTGCTTCACTCCCCTATTGGGCTGAAAATAACCTTGAAGACTGCCATTTATCAAAATGGAGAAAAAAGTAGATTGTAGGTTGTTTCTAATAAGAGAAATAACTTTATTAGAGAACCCAAATCTGACAAGCACTTGAAACAAATAATTCCAGGACAGTTTATCAAATTCTTTAGCCATATCAAGCTTAATAACCACATTAGACCCTCTGACCTTCTTATCAATAGCATGTATCATTTCTTGAGCAATCAAAACTTGATCAAATATATCTCTCCCCTTAACAAATCCAGCTTGTTCCTCAGAAATGATATTAAGAAGAAGTTTAGCCAGCCTATTTGCCAAAACTTTTGTGCAGATCGATTTTGTTGGTAAAGTTAGAAAGGCAAATGGGTCTGTAATCTGAAAAAGATGAGGGAATGTCAGCTTTTGGAAGTAAAACTATAAAAGAACTGGAGAAGCCTCTGGGAGGGGGAATTCTAATGAAGAATTCATGAACAGCCTTGACTACATCAGACCCCACAATCTGCCAGCATTTTTTAAAAAAAATTCCAGAGAAACCAGGAGCTCCATTTTGATCAAGTTCCCAAACAGCTTGTTTAACTTCCTCCTCTAATGGTAGAATAGTAAGATATTCATTGTCTTCAGGAGTTATGATCTCTGGTATACTATTTAAAATCTCATTTTCTGTGGTGACAAGGTCAACAACATAGAGATCTGAGAAAAAATTAACAACATCATTTCCTATATCCTCCAATGCAGTAAGATCCCTCCCCTGAGTGTCTTGAATCTTGTTTATCATCTGTTTTTTCCTTCTAATTTTCAAAAAAGAGTGATAGTAGTGTGTGTTACAATCCCCCTCCTTGAGCCATTTGATGTGTGCCTTCTGCTTAACTTTTACTTTTTAGATTGATTTTTTACTTCTACTTTTATGATTAACAATGTTTAGGATGTTGGAATTTTAGATAAACCTAGACAATGATGGGTTTCTCACTGCCTTCATGTTTTCTCAATTCTGTCAAAGCATTAAGATTTAAATGTTTGGACAGTTTTGCCAATAAACATATCTATGGTAATAATATTTAACGTGATATCATGAATGGAATCTAAGAACATATATAATAGATTTTATAAAACATGAATGCATAAAAAGATACACTCATGAAAACTTGTTTGACTCGTGCTTTTATCGAAGACAATAAACTTTCACCTTAAGGCATTATAATCGTTATTTATCACATATGGTGCATATCTAAGATTTCAACAATGCATCTTAAAGGCTCTTTTGGGAAATGACCAAATGTTATGCAGTGAGTACTTCAAATAATTTTTAAACTAATTGTTTAAAACATGGAAGGGATCAAAACATTCATGTATAAATGGTGTATCAATTTATTGTAATTTTGTTAGTATTAGTTTAGTCGTCCTTAGCAATATTATAATTAGTATATTGATGTAGATTCTTTATCACAATTTTTACCTTTGTGAAACTATAATTTTATTTGTTATTGTTTATTGTAAATGACTGTAATATAGATGAACAAATTTGTTTGTGAGGAATTTGCTAATTAGGGTCATGCTCAAGATGATATTTTGGATGACGAGAAAGAAGTTATATCTGACAATGATGATAGTGATTGTGAGATTAGTACCGATGATGAAACTTAGCAGGGTAGTGAGAATGAAGACAACATTCAATTACCGACTAATGATAATCATTTTAGAAGAATATATGACATATCATCTAGTGAGATTCGGGATTTGGAATTTGATACTCGACATGAAGTTTGCAATTTTTTTCAAACATATGAAAGATGTAAGGGGTTTGTTGTGAGGAAACATAATCTTGCTCGAGACAGGAACAAAAATATTACAATGCGACAATTAGTATGAATAGAGCTGGATTGAGGCAAAAAAAACACTTGGAGAATGTAGACAGGAAAAAACCACATGCACCAATCACATGCACGAATTGTAAAGCTAAGTTCCGTGTGCGCTTAGATAGAAAAAAATCAAAATGGATTGTGAGTTCTTTTGTGGAGTAACATAATCCTTTTTTAACTCCTACGTATGTCCACCTATTTCCCGCTTATCGTGCCTTGAATGATGCAGACAAAGCCAAACCGATATCTTACACATGCAAGGTGTTCGGACATGTCACATTATGGGATATATGTTGGCTCAAAAAGGAGAGTATAGTGGGATTGAGTTTTCAAAAAAGGATCTATATAACTATCTTGACAGACAGAAGCATGTTAAGATTCAAGATGGGGATGCACGAACTGCTCTTCGCTACATTCAAGGCAAAGCTGACAATGAACCCATAATGTTTTGTAAGTATTTTACTACAAATGATGGAAAGCTGAAATATTTATTTTGGGCAGATGGACAAAGCATAGTAGACTTTCAGTGCTTTGGTGATGCTCTTGGATTTGACACCACGTACAAGAAAAAATATATAATTATCCATTGGTTATTTTTTCAGAATGTAACCACCATTCTCAAACTATTGTATTTGGTTGTGCTTTGGTGACAGATGAAACATTTGAGACATATAAATGGGTCTTAGAAGCTGTTTTGGAAGCAATGCACAAGAAACATCACATATCAATGGTTACTGATGCTAATGTTGCTATGAGAGAGGCTATTAAATTAGTTTTTCCATATTCCATTCATCGTTTGTGTTCGTGTCACTTGAGTAAAAATGCATGTGAGAATGCAAAAGACTCACCATTTTTGGAGGATTTTAAGAAAGCAATGTATTCTAATTTCACCCCTGAAGAGTTTGAAGATTTTTGGCAGAAAATTATAGTTGAGCATGGGGTTTAAGGTAACACATGGGTTTTGAACACCTATGACAACAAGTTATTATGGGCTACTGCATATCTGCGAGACACATTCTTTGGATGAATCCGGACTACATCTCAGTGTGAAGCAATAAATTCTTTAATTAGATCCAATGCGAGGAAAAAAATACCCTCTATGAATAAAATTCATAATTTTGAACAGCTGCTAAGGGAGTACCGAAATAATGTGTTGATTGCTGATTTTAAGTCCAATTTCTAAGAATCAGTAATGATGAGCTCCTTGAAGCACCTTAAGCGCCAGACTGCTAATATATATACATCGGAAATTTTTACAGAAGTTAAGAAAGAGATTGAACTTGGTTGTGCACTAAATGTTGTGGGTCGAATAGAAAATGAGATGAATTGACTCTTCACCTAAGCAAATATGGTCATCCTGAAAGTTTAGTTAAAGTTGATTTTGATAGATCAAATTCTAAATTTTCATGTGCTTGTCGTCTTTATGAATCCCACAGCATTCCTTGTTCTCATATTATATGTGTTTTGAAAACTAAGAACATCCAGAACTTTCCTATAGCTTGATATGTGGAAGATGGACTAAGACGAGTAAGACTGATATAATCTTTGCAATGTCATCGAATGAAGTACATGTTGATGTTATGATATTTGCTCGTTTTGGTGCTTTAGCAACTTCTTGTAATAGACTGTGTAAAATTGCTGTAAAAAAGACTGAATACTTTGATGAAGTTAGAGATGAGATACACAGACTCACTCATAAGTTACAGAAGATTGGTGATCAAGGGAGTAGTCATGCATCATTTGTTGAAGATATTGGTGATCCTACTGTTGTAAAGACAAAAGATGCCCCAGTAAAGAAAAAAAGGAGGTAAAAGGAGGCGTTGTTCGAATTGTAACCATGTAGGACATGTAATAACATGCCCAAGGATAGCTTCCGATAACAATCACACTCAAAATGATGATGTTATATCTTTGGAAGACAACCAAAGATGTCATGTTAGTTTATTAATTTCCATATATTTACATATGTTAGCAAACTTTTATATTTTAGAATCTTTTTTAAGTATGACATGTGTGTACAAGTTATGTTTATATTATTGCAGGGCAAATGAACCTTTCTACATGAAGACAATCACAGTAACAAAACCAATTGTAGTAATGAGATGTATAAATGTGATGATGTTGATGGTGTTGGGAGCAAGGATAATGGTGGTTGTCCTAACTTCACAGTTAGTGAAAATAAGAGATATCATGTGTAATCGTCTTTTGTGTTAATGCTTGTAGAAAAATGAGTGAAACTTCTAAACTTTTCAAGTTATATTATTATTTTGTTGCAGGGTAAAATAATCAAGAAATGTGAATCTTCAAAGGTTTATCAAAGGTTCATGTAAATGAGAGAGCCAAGGTCAAAGAGTTAAATAATGAGTTATATATACTAGTGATGTATTATTTTATATAATGTTCTTGATGTTGGTTGATGTTAATGCAACATGTAGAATTGAATATTAACGACACTTTTCAAAAGAGTGGAATACTAATTGATTAGCCATCAAGCCTTTCAAGTGAACGTTTGCCTGGGACTAGCTACGCGGCAATATTCTTTGTTATCTCCGACACATCTGTCACAAGCTAATAGCCCTCAGTCATACAATTATTGGGTACCCTCTACCAATCCATATGATGCACCTCTTTTTCATCCAAATATTCCATTACTTCAACAAATGGTTCAATATCCACATGTTATGAGTTCTATAAAAAATTAGGGCGCTATTTTATTCAAAAAAGCAAGGGTGATACTTAATGGCATGTAATTAATTTGTCTCTCTCAATAACTATTGTTATGTAGTTCACTGAAGTTAGTCAAGTACCCAATGATGGTGGTGGAACTTCTTGGAAAGCTTTGCTCAAAGGAGTCATTAAAATGGTGCTCAAACAAGTATGCATTATATGTACAAGGACTTAATTGATTTAGTTCTTTTGTTGTTATGATAATCTCAAAATTACTGTATTAAAATTAGTATTTTGTACTAATATTTTTATTACGTGTAGGTGGTACACATGACAATCTTCCTTGATTTACAAGGTATGGTCTTAGTGAAGGTGGAAAATAACAAAGATACGGATATGAAGAAGTGTTGGTAATGTAGTAATTGTTATCTTTGTAATTGGTTGGATGACTCAAGTCAATTGAGGTTCTTTTGATTTTCCTAATATTGTATTCTACTATTCTGGTATCAATATTTAACTAGACAAATAACCCGTGCATTGCACGGCAAATATCTAGAGGGTAAAATATATCGTACAGCCGGTTGTACCGTGCGCACGGTACAGCCGGCCTTTTTTTTGGATTTGTGTCGCTTCGCACCCTTCTGCACATCGGCCGCCGGAATTTCTAGCCAAGCTCAAGAGTCCTCCTGCAGAGTTGCTCCTTACAAGAAGAAGCCAACGACCACCGCCATAGAGATCTAGACAACTGTGAGACTTGTTGTTCCTGGTGATTTGGCCAAAAATACTTCCAAACTTCAATTCCTCTGTTTCTCTTCCGCCATGCTCTCTCGTTGTATGCTCTGCTTCTCATTTTGTCTTTTTCCCTTTTCTGCTTTTGTTTTTCATTTGTATTTTCTTTCAAAAATTAGCTGCCGCACGTCAAGAAGATGGTTGCTACGCTGTGCCGCTGCTATTTGGGGACATCTGCTAATCTTCTATTGGACACCTTATGATTTTTTTTTTAGATTTTAGTTGAATGCTTTTAGTTTTATGGGGATTTTTGGGTTTTGGAATTTGCTTGACTACTATTAGGTGTAATTTCATTGGATGTATTGATGCTTCTTTATGTTATTATTATTATGAATATATGAGCATACACAAATGTATATTTGAGCACACTACATATATCAAATGAGTTTTTGAATTTTCGATACTCATTTTGTAAATTATGTATGCTCATTTGATCTCAAATGAGTTTATATTAAACTCAAATGAGTATACGCATAAAAGAAATGAACATACACAACTGAATATTAAGCACATTATAAATGAGTTTTATGTTAAAATCAAATGAGTATAACGCCCAAAGCCAATGAGCACACAAATGGGCTTCTGATTTTTTTTTATAATCATTTTGTAGGATATGTATGCTCATTGGGTACTACTTTACGCTCATTTTAAAATGTCGCACATTTCAAACGTATCATACTACATTAGATTTACATATTGAAATTAATTGCAATTGATTACAGACATAATTTAAGAGTTTTTATAAACGAAAAAAATAATAAAAAGAAAGTGAATTAGATGATGTAAATAATGTATACTCATTTTGTAAAGATATTATGCTCATTTTAAAATGTCATATCTATACATACTTCAATAGTACCATATTACATTGGATTCACGTAAGTATCGATTATAGATACGAGAGCACATACAATGATACTCAATTACATGTTTCTAATACTCAATAGAAGATGTTTGATGCTCAATGAAAATGTCTGGATGCTCAACTAAAAATACTTATGATTTTCATACCAATGATCATTTTATAAGTTATGTATGCTCAACGAGTACTCATGTTATGCTCATTTGTAAAATGTCATATCAATGCATATTATAAAAGTATCATATTAAATTAAATTCGTATATTGAAGTTCATAAGAGTTGATTATAGATATAATTTAATAAGTTTTTATAAAGAAAAAAATAAGGAAAAGAAAGTAAATTCGAAGAGATGAAGCCGAGATCACAATGCTCATTGTTAGGCTTCTAATGCTCAGCAAAATATGTCTGATGCTCACTAGACGTGTTTTAATGCTCATTTAACAGGATACACGAATTTCATGTAAATTACTAAAATGCCACCGGCTGTACGGTTCTCACCATACAGCCGGTTGTACTATATAGGCTCTATCTAGAGCGGGTAAGAAATTGTTTAAAATTAAAGACTAATGGGAAGAGTTTTTTGTTATTCTTTTAATTTGGTTGGTTATATATATGAAAAGACTTATATCAAAACATTAGAGTCGATCAAATCCATTTAATGGAAAGAGAGACAAATATTTAAAGTAACCTTGCAATTAGACAAAGAATTCATCACCTCTAAAAGAACACATCGAGGGAGGTTATCTATTATTTTATATCTCTTGATTCACTTATGTAATGATCCGAGTAAATAACCCGTTTAGTTTCACTCGAAGGTGGAATCCCCTAATGATGGCACCCCTCATCTCGAGCTTACAGAGTTGTGAAAATAAAAATATTGCACATTTTATTTGATGGTGAGTTATTCACTTATTCATAATTAATATTGAAAATGTAAAAAAAAACTATTTAAAAGCAAAAGCGGATTAAAACTTTCCTATTTTGCAAACTCTGCCTTTTCAATGAGAAAAGAAATTTTGCACAAATTCATTCGATTTACACGATTTAATGCTTGAAATCAAAATTTATTGGTTGTACAAAAATTAATGAAAATGCTGTTAAAGCTGATAGGTTGGAGTGTAACACCGCCCCCAAGTATTTGTACTTTATCAAATTATGTATTGAACCCAAGAAATGAATAAACGCATTTTACGTGATTGTGAATTTTTATTATTTCTTTTACGTGAATAGTAAAATTCACGTGGGGCCCACACCGGAAGTGGGGGCCGCCCGACAATATCGGGACCACATATTATATTCATTTGGGTCAAGATAATATGTGTATAATGGTGGATAGCCTGGTTGGGCCATAGAAGTTATGAGAGTAACCTTTTGGGCATATAAAGCCCATTTATCGGTACCCGAGGTAATATCAGATAAAAAGTCATAATAAATTATGGAGACCATCAAATTAAAAGTTGGGAGATGTACATTCATTCTTATATCCAATAATAATTTGAAGAATGAGAGATATTTCATTTTACCCGATAAAATGAAATATAGTTAACACAGTCCGGGAAATACAACTTTCGGGACCGAGTGTACACTCGGGGACACAAAGGGATGAGCACCCATCAATGTGGGGGCCACCCCACTACTTTGATGCTGCAAATCAGTAGGGGAGCCGCACAAGGAAGGGAAGAAGAGGCATGAATTGATGGGAATCAAAACAAATAAAGGACATGGGACCCCTCCCATATTATTATGGTGAGAAATGCCAAAAAGGCATCCTCAATCAACCCCAAACCCCCATGCTCGACCAGCCCAGATAGAGAAGAGAGATAAGGTTTGAAAACACACCATTTTCACCCATCATTCACGCACAAAGCAAGGGGAGGAAGAAGGAAAGGAAAAGAGAAGAGGAAAGAGGAGTTTAGGTGGGAAAACTTGTAGTTAACAAGGTAATGACTTCATTAATCTCATTTCTTCTCTTCAATCATATTTCATACTCCTAGGATGTTTCTACACATGTAAAAGTGTAGGATGGGAGTTGAAGGGTTGGTTTATACCCAAAATGAACTTTGAGGGCAAAGTTGACGGGTTCACCGGAAAATAACCTTTTAGAGGTTATTTGTATTGATAGGGGTTTTATGATGATAAAACCTTGTTATTAACTTGTATAAGGTATTTCAAGAACCTTCACGGAGTTGAAAGAATTGCCGGAGTTGCCGCCGGAGTTCGTTGAAGTTCACCGGAGTTTCACCGGAGCTCAATAAGAAAGGCTAGAACTTCATAAGCTTCTTTTAAGGTGAGAAGACGGCTATATGCTTTATAACTTTTGCGTGAGGCATGAGATTACCTAAATTAATCAATAATATGTTTTATGAATTGATTAATGGTATTAAAGCATGTGTTATGTTATGCTAAGAACTATAACAAGGTTGGAAAGCATGAAATGTAGGTTTGATTAGTGAAATGATTATAAATTGAGATGT